AGAAAAGTCTGTCTCTCTCTCTACTCTCCTTTTCACACCACATCAGGTATTTGTACACATTAATTAGATCTTTCCTAAGCCTTTCCCTTCTCCAAGATGAACAGCCACAGCTCTCTCAGCATCTCCCCATGTGACAGATGCTCTAATACACATAATAATCTTCGTGGCCCTTTTCTGGACTCAGTCCATATTTCTATTTCCTTTCCATACTTGAAAAACCACCTCTGGACTTGGCACTTCAAACATGTCTCACCAGTGCTGAGTAGAGAGAAAGGATCTTTCCCATCAGCTTATTGGCATCACCCTTTCTATTGCAGTTCAGGAGACTGATATATTTTCTTCAAGGGTTCATTTCTGGCTCATAGCTAACTTGCTATCCACCAGGATTACCAGTACTTTCACTGCAAAGCCGCGTTCTCATTGTCAGGTCCAAGTCTGTGTGGGTGCAATGAAGTTATTCTTACTGCATTAATTATTCCTCTCATTGCAGCCATCAACAATTCCAATTCTACTGTAAAGTTTTAACCCCCTAAATGCTGAAATGAATAATGCCATGCTAAATTCAACACTTTATTCTCACAAATATAATCTTCCTTTTTGTCAACTTGCCATTGGAAATAGGAGTTGCACTGCTAAGACTCTGTTAGTAAAAGAATATGCAACATTGGGAAATTAGTTGTAGTATCAAGGTAACCAGGAGTCACAGCTGGCAACAATAACTTTCACTGAATTTCAAAAACAACAGCCTCAAAGTTATCAAACAAATATTTTTGTCATAATCACATTATCACATCTTTAGCAGGTGAATTGTGTCAAATACAGTTAGGTGATAGAGCACCTAGGATGCTAATAAAATTTTTTTAATATATTTCATGATGATTAAAGATACATGTGTTCAGTTGTGCTTTTGACTTTCATTTCCCACAGAAAGTCTTTAAATAATAGAAAAATCTTTTGCTGTTCAATTGCTAAAAAGTACAGTTAAACATCATGTTCATGAGGAATGAAAAAAAACAAAAAACACTCAGTTAAAAACAATGACTGATAAAGGGAACAACTGATTCAAAACCTCTGCAATTTAGAAGGCTTAAGTTTTATTTTTCTTATTATGAATATATATATATATATATATATATATTTTTATGTGTGTGTGTGTGTATGATTTTTCTTACAGGACAGACAGTGGACCACTATTAAAATACAGAGAGGAAAAAAGTGCTTAAGAACAAAATGTAGCAACATTCCAAATACTACTATGAATTAACCAGTGTATTAAAGATTCAAGAAGACTTGAATCCAAACTAAGGATACCAAACACCTCTTTTTTCAAATAAAAGGCTGATTCAGTTGAAGTCAGTAAGCAATGTAGTACTATTTCCTCAGTCACTGAAGATAATTAAATCAAAAAATCATTCTGTAACATATGCTGTAGATACCAGAAGACACATGTTTTTTTAGGTGATTGGCTAAGACTTCTGATCTGTATTATGCAGGATATTATACTAGCCAAAACAGTCCCTTGGGCCTCAAAATATCCTTGCACTTCTGGAAGTCACAGATTTTACTTTGACAAAGGGTGGTAGAGTCACACAGACAAGAGGTATAAACTGAAAATAAATGCTTTCAGACTGAGAATACAACACCAGGTTTAATATTCTGGTGGGTTAACCTTGGCTGCTGCCAGGTGCTCACCAAACTGCTCTATCACTTCCCCTTCTCAGCAGGATGGGAAGAAAATGAGATGAAAAAGCTCATCATGGGTTGAGACAAGAACAGGGAAATCACTCACCAGTTACCATCACTGGTAGAACTGATTCAGCCTGGGGAAGATTTGTTTAATTTATCATCAATAAAAACCCAAGTAGGATTGTGAGAAACAGGAAAACAAAACTAAAAACACTTTTCCCATTATCCAGCCCTTCCTTCTTCCCAGGCTGAAATTAAGTTTTTTATTTCATTTTACCTTTCTCTTCTGACTTTTCCCCACCTTGCCCCTACCACGAAGTGGCAGTAAGGGATATGAAATGCGATCTGCAGTCAGTCAGTAAAATTTTGTATCTGTTGCTCCTTCCTCCCTGGCCACTACAGGGTCCTTTCCAAGCAATACATGGCTCCCTCCCTTCCACAGGGTGTAAGCCTTCAAGTCCAGACTGCTCCAGAGTGGGCTCCCCAGGGGCCAGTTACTGCTCCTGCATGTGCTCTTCATGGATGCAAATTCCTTCAGGGCATATCTGCCTGTTTCAGGGTGGGGTCCTCCATGGTCACCACCTTCTCCACAAGCTGAGACAGAATCTATTTGGCGTCTGAAGAGTGCTCTCTACCTACTTCTTCACGGACCTTAGTGTCTGCAGGTTTGTTTCTCTCACATTTTTTTCTCACTCCTTCCCCCACCTGCTGTGCAGCTTTGGGCAGCAATGGATCTATTTTAGATCTACTGGGAATTGACTGTCAAACATGGGGAGCAGCCTCTGGTGTCTTCTCAAAATGGCACTCTCTGCAGCCCCCCTCCCCACTAACTTGCCATGTAAACCCATATAACACATGAAATTAAACACCAGTGGAAATAAACCACTGGAATATTTTAAAACATCAGTTTGATTTAAGTTGTGTGAAGGACTAAGCATTGTGCCATGGTAGAGGTTTGACTGGATAATGATATTACTTTGAAACTTAGAAAAGTCTGTGAATGTCTGCAGTAGACCTGGGCTTGCTGTGATATGAAGAAAGGCCTTGTGAGCAGAAAAAACTTACAGGAGAAAAATAACTCTTAATTCCTTAAGTCATTTGTTTTAACCTGGCAAAAGCATTTGTGGTTTTAAACTGTCTTTGGTATCATCAGTGATAGCAGCCAAAGGCACTAGCTTTCATCTCATGTGCAAGCTTCCCCTTCCTTTAATCCTCTAACCCTTTTCATAGTCCCCTTGTCCCATGCAGCTTTTTCATCTCACTGCTGAGGACCTGCAAGTGCTCTTCTCAGGCAGCAGCAGCTAGGAAGTTTTGGTAAGTTATCTTTTCCTCTTGGAGAAGCAATGGGACAAGTTCCCCTCCTACTGCTCATTCAATGGTTATGGCCTCTTGATTTACACTTCAATTAGCTTTGCTGTGTGGAGAAAAAGAGAGTAGAATAGGAACAGATGTAGCACTGTGACTTTTCTAAGGCAAGACCATTTTTAAATCTCCACTGCAATGAGGCATCAAAGAGATGTAAAGAGATAGCATTCTTCTTATGCCTTTCAGATTTTATTTATCTCTTTAAAGAAATAAGTGCATGGGCTGAGATTGAATTCAGACTTCAGTCTATTTTACAGCTCTTCTGTAGGCTAATTCACCAACCTGACTCCAGTTTTTCTTACTCCTGCTTGCCTGTAGCTAAATGTGACAGTGTTAGATTCTGTGTGAGGTATGAACTTGTGTTTAATGAAATGGAGGATATGACTCAAAGGCAAATGTTCCTATTTTAGTCCTCATAGTCTCATGCTATGAAAACACAAGAATAACTATGGACAGCAAATTATGTAGATTTAAGTATTAATACAGTAGGATTTTTTTCTATACCTTAGGCTATTTAGCTATGGACTGCTCCAGTATTGCCAAATAAGAAACTTTGGAGGCAGCAAAATGAAAGACAGGATTAAGCAGAGGGTATGCCTGCAAGGTTAAACCATCATCACCCACTGGGTGTAATGATAGTGACACTGTAAAACCAAAGCTCTTTGCAGGAGAGGCTTAGCTTCTCCACATGGGACACTATCATATGACCAAGTGTAATACATGGCAGTCTTGCCATTACTCTGAACTTTAATCATAATTAAGCCACTGCCACAGAGATATTCCTAGTTATTACTGGAATTAGAGTACCATTTAACACCCCTGATATTACTTGAATAAACTACCGCAGTATTGAGGTTTATTAAAAAAGTGTGAACTCAGGTACTTATCAGCCGAATTTAACCACACAGTTTTTATTGTACTGGAAATAAAAAGCTGTCCACAAATATTATTATTGAAATACAGCATTATAACATTACTTCCAAGAATATGGAATTGCTTCAGAAGTAACACAGAACACAAAAGAGTATTCTATTTAATTTTACTAAATAAAATATGATCTTGAAACCAGTAGGTGTGTTTCAATTTTTGGTACAGCTCCATGTTTTTATAAAGCTATTGCTTTGTTGATACTACTTATTAATGAGATGTAGAAATTAGGCAAGCATTTACTTAGCTTTGTAAACATGTATCAGAAGACATAAATATTATATTTCTGTTTTTAAACCATTGGAATTATTGCATAGATTCATCCACAGTGTGTAGTAGGCTTTCTCCCTAGAGCAGTTCTAACACTCCACTAAATATAAGCTATTCCTCTTTATCTCTTTGAAGAAAAATGAATCACATCCACCGCTTGCAGCTATCAAAACGTGATTTATCAAGCATTTTCATGAAAATGCACTTTTCCCCTTCTTTACACTAGGAGGCACATTTTTACTTCATACAGTTCTATTGCACAGCTCTGCTGCATGCAACTCTTAGATACGTTTACAATTCCAGTCTAAATTTAAGTCCCTGACAACCTTTACTAAACCACAGTGAAAGAATTCACTAATAAGGTGGGTTGTTTTTTCACACTGATGAAAACCACAGTTGTAGTAATGAAAAATAACACTCTGCACCCGACTGCTGGAGAACAAAAGAACAGGGTTTTTTGAGCAATATCTGAAGAAATAATTCACAATAAAATACATCAGAGTTGTACAGTTTTAATGCAACTGATGATAAAGATCTTTGTGTTAAAAGTACACTTCCTGATATGCACGTTTAAAATCATTAGAAAGCAGGAATTTTTGAGATGAAAGATGTTTTAAAGTAGTATATATAAATTCAATTTTAGATTGACCTGTTTTTTCTTTTTTTTTTTTTTTTTACATTGCAAACAAACTGGAATGTATTCTGCATTTTTATCTGATATGCTAAAAGTTAAAGAAGTTGTATCAGATGACTGATCTTTGGAATATATTCCTTTTTATAGGAATCAAGTGTATCAAGCTGCAAATGGGACAAAAGTGAACTATAAGGAAGTTGCAATTGATAGGTTAGCATCAAACTCCTCTGACCATCAATAGTATTGATCAATTAACAACAGGGAAATGGAAAATACATCTTAGCAAAATGAATTCCACCCTCAAAATAAAAGACTTAAATAAAGAAGACAGATTCCAGTGATACAAACCAAACTTGGGCATACATATCATCATAAAAGACTTCCTATCTCTATCTTGTTGCCTTTTTCTCATGGGCACAGTGACAGCGTGTGGCTGACAATGCTAATATTTGGCTTCTTTCTTCATTTCGGTTTCACCCGGTGTGAGAGATTTCTGTTTTCAGATTAGCTAGATGAATGTACTCTCACTGTGTGTGTTTATTTCATTAAATCATGTAATTGTAGCTCTTCTGTCTCTGTAGAAGCTAATGACTGCGAGTAAATATGGCAGTAAGGTTTCTCAGACTTTTGTGTAACAAGTTAGCAAGACTTCTAGTACATTTCCCCCCCACCCCCCATTTCAGGTTTTGAAGACTTGAACCTCAGTCACTCTTCAAATATAATTAAAATAGCAACATTATATTGAGAAACAATGGCTGTATTTTTATTCACTTAACTTCACAGTGTACAGTAATAACCCACACAATTCACTGAGCATTAAAGTCATTAACTAAAATTGCTCTCAGCATGAGGCAAGGACTTCACTATCAAGATTAACATCACATTCTCATGAGCTGAAGCAAACTTTTACTTAAAATGAACTTTCATAAAAATACAGTGGAACAAATCTGTATTTTTGGTGTAGAGGTCATTCCCAAAAACACTGTTCTTTCTCTTCAGTTGAAGCATTTAGAATAAAAATATTGTTATGCAATTATCGTCCAAAACTGGTAGCAGTACATGTACGTGGCAATACTACAACTCTCCACTAGGGCTTTCTTCCTTACTTTATAGTTTATCTTTTACCTTAGCATGTCCCAAGTATTTTCATAACCAGCAACCCCTTAAACAGCCACTGAAATGAAACTACCTCTACAGTTAAATACAACTAGGGAACATTTCACTGCAACAGAACTAGAAATTCAGCTTAGGAGTGTCAAGGAATACAATGTTCAAATGATACTACATCAGTTATTTTAGCCATGAACACATGTAAATACCCACAAAGTAACTGCTCAATACCAGCATTTTTCTCTTCTGAAAATTGCCACAGCAATAACCATAAACTGTTTTAAACCTTATTTCACATCTCATTCAAAAAACTTGTGCCTACAGTAGCAAAATAATTTTTGATACAGTGCCTAGGCAATAGCTTGATACTGAATACAATATAGAAGCTAAATCCATTTAATGAGCGACATGATTCCCATCCTGGCCTGGGTTTTTTAGGATAATTTCTGTCACAGTACTGACCATATAATTCCTTTCTTAGTTTGTGAGATTTGATGAGATACAGGGTGTATTTTTCAATGTCTGGTAAAAAGCAGAAAAACCTATACTTCAATATTCACTAATTGTTAGTACAGCTTGATGGTTAGATTTTCATATATTTGACACAAATTTAGCATCCCTAAGGCTAAATTAGGTGCTACCACAAGCATATTAAAACTTTTCATATAGCTTTTAAGAACTCATTCTAACTAACCTTCTATTAGTGTCTATAATAGGCATGAATAGATGATTGTGATTAATATACTATGTTTTCACAATGTGTTTAACACAAAATTTCCAAAACTGCACTTTAATAACTTGCTATCTAATTTACTAACATCTCTTTTCCTAACTTTCCTGCTGGACTTCTATGCTGCATTTTAAAAAGATGTACAATTCAGAGTCTGTGAAGCCAATGCAACAGTGCCAACTTGCAATGCTGCATTAAAAACTCCTCTCTGATGTTAAATCTTTCACAAGTCACATACGTGGTCAGAGAATAAACCAGATAATTCCACTTAAGCTCCTCACTTGTTTAAATAGACATACATTCTTGCTCCAGAATCAGTCATAGTTGCTACTCTTTTATCATTCTTTGCATTTCTACAGATTAAGGGTTTAACACCATAATTCCAAAAACATTTCTGTTTTGGTAAAGAAAATAAAATGAAGGTGTCATATCCAGGAAAGAAAAAAAAGGTAAATAGAGGAAAAGAAACCAGACTGCAACTCTCAGACAGTAAAACATTTCATATTGTTTCTTTGTAGAGTTTCATCCAACACAACCTCTTGGTCTTCCCATATACATATGAGAAAAATATTTCCAAAGTCAATATTCCACAGTTCATGTTGTCATCTGCCATGATGTAAATGTCATCATTCAGATCCAGTCTGTCCAAATGAGGAGATGGACCTTAACATTGTTCATCAGATCCCAAAGCCACCTTCTCTCCTGGTTTGTACAGGCCCAGTGACAACTTAATCATCTACACAAAAGGGAGAAATGCCAAAGACAGAAACTAATTCTTATTTTTATACTCCTGGGATGCAAGAGAACTCAGGTTCAATTACCTTCCAAGAGCACAAATAAGACTTTTAACCTTTGTCTCCATATTCTAGAAAAAAACAAGAAGTTTAAGAGCTACTTCCTCCTCCCTGTCTTCAGGATGTCTAAGCCTCTACATTCCAAACCCCAACACCAAAATACTAGTTACAGTATCAGTGAAGATCTTGCTTCAATTTTTAGTACTCTCACAAAAACACAACAATAATGTAAATGAATCATAGAGGAGGAAAGAAGAGAAAGGCCGAAATTCCCCAATCCAATAGTTGATCCTTAATATTTTGTTTGAAAACCTGTATCTCACACTTCCAGTACATCATGCCATTCCAAGCTAACAAAGAAACCTTGTGAGTCTTAATGTTTGAAAGGGGAATTGTAAGGGTGTTTAAAAATATGTGTTCTTTCAATTTTTCAGTGCTTCAATGATTTACTGATTTCTTTGTTAGTCTAAAAGATAGTACAACCTCCATGTCCTTGAACTTTAAACTGATATTTAGAATGACTTTTCTAAAACAAAGTCTATAGCTAAATAGCTGCAGCACTGAAAACATCAAGAAAAACTTGATATCTTGTAGGACATCCTTCTCCCCAGCTGTTATTGCTTACTGTGCAATTAGTATGAAGCCATTTATTCTACTGGATATACGTTTCTTTCCACTGTCAAATTATTACAACATCAGGCACTTCAGGCAAACTTCATTATTTCCAAAAAATCCTTATGAGCTAATATGATCAAATATTCATGCACATGCTTAAAAACCTCTCTACCATTGCAAAGCTCAAAGGGATGAAAAAGAAAGTAACCAAGTTAGCAAAGCAATTCAGATAAGCAGAGCAGTGATGGTGACTCACCCGAGTTGGGGTCAGAATTGCCGTCAGCTTCAGTCCTCTTGTCCGGTGAAGCCTGGTCGTAGAATTCGTCCTGCGGCTGAACCAGAGGAAGAGGGTGTGAGATCAGGGTTCCACCACCCACTGGCTCGTGGTCTCCCAGACCACTGTCACTGCAGCTTTCCTGGGAGCCATCGGGGAGGTGAAATGTAACACGGCGCTGGGACTACAAAGAAGAGCACAGGACACACTGATTAGTGCTCTTCTTTTCAGTTCTCTTGACTACCTTTTTTTTTGTTTTGTTTTTTAACTTTTGACATACAGATAGATCCCTGGCAATGCTTATGAAGCAATTGCTATTACCATGTTTGCTTGTTGTTTGTGGTTTGGTTTGTCTTCTTTTTTTGGCTTGCTTTTGAATGGGAAATTGGCAGATGGGAGGGACAAATTTCAAAAGTCTATATGTGCTCATCTGTGAAGTAAACTTCTTATAAGAAATTGATCAGTGGAAAATTAGGTATATTTCTCCAAATTTTCAAAACATCATCTATTAAAAAACCTCTCTCTGAGAAGCAGGAACCATTGCAAACTATATTATAAAAAGCAAGTGATATCTGCAAATCTAATAACTATATATTTCTGAGGTTAAAATCTGTATTATCACTATTCAAACTGAAAAGAAAGAAAAAAAAAAAAAAAAAAGACAACTACTGAGCTCTAAAAACCCGTAAAAATGGTTGTTATCTTTCAGGAAAAGTAGCATGAATAAATAGCTATCTACAAGCATATTTAACTGATAGCAGTCATGTACCTTAAATGGATAATTAGTACTGATAATATATGTGCAAATTCACAGTAGTCAGCAAAGAACCACAAAATGCAATGACAGAATAAATAATTATCAATTTGGTAGGAGAAATAAAAATAAAACAGCACAGAGTTTGTACAAAAAAATCACAGGGATTGAGAGGCAGAATTACACATCTTACTGAACTTTTTAGCAAAAAAACCTGCAGCCATCTCAAAAGGAAAAAAAAACAAACCAAAACAAAAACCATTCAGTGTAATCTTAGATTAGTTAACTATTATTGATTTTGAAGCTCTCTCATCTGGAGAAATAATCTGACTTTTGAATTGTGGCCACAGAATGATACAGTGATTCCCCAAGAGTTTCAGAGCTGATAGCACCACTGCAAATTGTTTAGCAACCATGACTGTTGATTCATGAAAGGAATATTACAGGTCTTCATGGATCAAAATACTGCATCTATGAAGGATTGGAAACAACTAACTTAAGAGTATCTCAAGAGAGTGGTCAAATTAAGCATATCTTCCCACCAAAAACAGATTTCAGCAGCTTCAATAGTCTGGTGTGTTAGATTAATTTAGGATAAAGCAGAGATTCACAAAGTTTGCCTTAAGCTAATAGTAACTTAGTTAATAGTAACTGTTAATAGTAACTGTTTAGTTTTGTGGTTATTTCTTTTCAATATTAGTCACCTGAAATTTATGGGGAATATCTAAGCTAATGATTCAAGATTTCTATAGAGCCAGAAAAAAAGAAACATTAGGAAAATACTACAAGTATTTTCACTTTATTAAAATTCTTAAAAATATTAACACTTTTTAAAATAGTTAACATCAGGTGTCCTGTATCCATCCTGAAACAACATCAGGTCCCAACTTTCCTTTTTTCCCTCTCTCCTTTATAATTTTTTTTTTTAATAAGAAAAACCTCAAGTTAATAGTACTAACTGTATGTTTGCTTATTAAAGACTACTTGTTAATGGTAATTGCTACCATTTTATATGGCAATCAATATAATCTACCAGATTCCTTTTTATTCATCTCCCTTGGGTGAATATAGTTGATTAAGTCAACTTTAGATTACTGTGTTATTCAGTATAGAAATAAATGTAATACTATTTGCTCTTAGCTGTGATTTTATAATTAGTATTTTGCTTTTAAGTTCCTTTTCTAGCTTTAGGATTAGAATCCAGCTGTAGAAAACCAAATAGATCCTCTGAGTCATTGGATGTATTCATTACATCAACAAAGAACCTAACTCTATACATGTCAGCAAGAAAAACTTTAGCTCACAGTTTGTTACTTTTTCTTAAAACTTTTTTTGGTCTGGAAGTACCAACAATTGTACCCTGAACAATTTTTAATTGCTATTCTATTCTTCCCCTTTAATATGAGCACAATAGAAATGTAGCTAACTACACAAAATCATTTCTTTCTGCAACTACTTTCAGAAAGATAAATTTGGAGATCTGTTTTTCCAAACTAAGAATTTTCATCAATAGTAAAGTCAGCAAGTGGCAAACTGTGGTGATGAATTCCCCTACCTCTACCCCCACCCTCTCTCCAGGGCACACTATGATCTGAGGAAAGGAGATCGCTTTCATTGGTTTTAAACCTAAAAGATTCTATAAGAAGACATGAATGAATAAGAATATTAAGCCCTAAAATTGGGGAGGAGATGACAAATTAAGTTTTAGGATCTGCAAAATAATAAAACACTTATAACTAATTAACCACCTTAATAAACAGTAGAATTCATAATTACAAAAATGACCTGTTTTGTGAGTTACATAATAAAAGTACTTACCTTGAGTAACAAAAATTCCTCATACTAGCCAAAATCTGCTCTGACTCTATACTGACAGTGACAGGGACCAGATAGCCAGTAAAATGACACAGGCCTAACACTTATACTGGCAACTTCTTAGCTGATAGTACTATTAATTTTTAAATCCATACTTTAAATTATGAGAGAAAAATATATTGTCTTGCCCTTCTGAGCCACTGTAGCAGGGTGATTTTCTTTGGAATGTGGTCAACTCAAAATATGTCCTATTTTGCAAGCTATCAGTAGTGGGCCGAGAGGTGTCATTATGTGCTGATTTTGGCACTGGATTATGCTAAAAGCAGTCTGGCTCATCAACTCCAAATTAAATCCTGATAGTGGGGTAAAGATTTGACAGATAAGCTGCTCAGGTGACTTGGAGACCTAAGACTGGCAGTCAATCACTATATACTGTAGAAGTCCAGTCCACTTCCGCACAGTTGGGTTCCTCTCACATATTCCTTCTTTGAGTGTATGAAATTTTCTCCCTTGAAGTAGGGAAGCCCCTTCTTTGAGGCTGAGTGAAAGAGATCTTCCCATGAGCATTGGTGTGGTGAGTTATACCAACCTCTGCTTAATAATGGTTTCTTTTTTGCTAGCTTTATGTAATAGCTTTGATATAGTGACCTGTACCTATACTTTACACTGATAGTAGTTTTGGCTTTTACATGCTGTAGTAAATAAATCTGAATGAGGTATTTTGTCTAATCATTTGTCATCTAATTAATTAATATTTACATAAATTTATCTGATTTGCCATCATTAATCTTCTGAGACAAAGTTAATTAAACCATTGACAAAGTCTGGGGTTAAGACTGGGTCCAGTGACATGTAAATTCTTCTCTGGGAAGTTTAGAAAGGAAGGAGGGCCTTTCTGCACCCTTTGACTCAACAGTGGGGATTATCTAATAAACTTTTTGTGATGTTCCTATTCTTACCCACAACAGCCACTGACTAAAGAATTCAGAGATCATTATAAAGGGTTATAGAAATTGAAGGGTTGTGTAAATAGTGATCCAGCTCAAGAGATGATGGATGGATAACATGCAGTCCATAAAGGAACTTTAGATTATGTTGTGCCATCAAAACAATGAGGGGAACAAGCCTTCTGCAAAAAGAGACTCAAAGCAAATGTTTAAGCTTAGGCATATCAGAAATTGAGAAGAAAGTCTGTCTTCACTGTACTGAGAGCTTACAAGTTTTAAATAATGTGATATGTGGCCACTGCCTGGTCCAGAACGCTCCTGCCTGGCTGCAGGAGTCCAGCCTGGAATCTCCACACAAGGAGCGCTGCTGCAAGTACTGAGACTGAACATGTAATGCAGACACACACACACACACAGACACTGGCTTGGCCTCAGCTGTCACTACACAGACAGCCCCAGACAAGGCTCTGGCACCTCAACCCCTCCATTCAGGACTCATACCGGCACAGGCACACAGGGATACATCCCCTCCTTCTCTTGGGCTGTCAGAGGAAGAAAGTCACAAGTGCCGCACACACACACCGCACTCTCCAGGTTTACAAACACCTTTACAGCCCTCCCTAGAGCCAGCACAGCCCCTCTGCCTGCCCGGCACCCCTGCCCAGATCCCAGCCCCCCGACCATCCCCACAGGTCCCCAGTTCACCAGCTGGTCTCACTGGGTGCTTGCTGCCCACATGCAGCACTCACACACTTGTCCCACTGGCAGGCCACACTCATGGGTCCCCCACAAATACCAGCACTGCCCCCCTGCCTGTCAGATACCCCCACCCAGACCTGGGGTCTCCTACTTCTGGCTGGTCCAGTTTGGAGTTTGCCCATGACTCTGCACCAACACAGCATGCACAGCTGCCTTGGGCAAGGTACACAGACTCTCCCCCAGAAGCATGCATCGCAGGATGTGACACATGGTCCAGATCCAGCACTGAGCCCCTCACTGATTGTTCGCTGATTGTGAATTTCTTGCATGACAGTAAAGATAGGGACTCTTCTTTCAGAAGAAAATCCAACATGTTTTAGACTATGCTTGTGTTTATCTACTCCCTTGTGTAACAAAATCCAGTTTTGAATTCTTTTTCCCTAAAGACAGAATCAAGTTATTTTGAGTAATGAGGTTTATAGTTGGTACAACAATAGGACTAACGATAACAAGTAATTACAATTTTAATTATGCTACAACATACGTGGGATTATATACAGCATGAGGTAATGTTATGGTTCAGGTCCCAAAGCTTGGCCAAAATTCAAATCTAAAACACATGACATATTCAATCATGAACAAGCATTTGGGGGGGGGGGGGG